AGTTTTCTCTTTTTTGAAATGGAACTGAAGGCAAAGGAAGGAGGGCGGGAAAAAGAAAAGGCTTCAAGGACAAGAGGGGAGGAGTGGGGGCAGAATGAGACAAGTTAGTTAAGGAAACTATGGTTGGTTTATGGTTCATGTTTAAATTATTCTTTATAAAGTCTAATTTAAGATTTAATCTTTCCTCTTTCTTTTTTTGTCTTTTTCATTTAATGGTATTTTGATCTTCGGGATCCAGGGCCCTCAGCGCTCCTCCTGGTGGTCTCCGACTGTGGAGAAGGAATGCCGACTTTGTCTGGCAGTGGGAACAAAACCACCCGCGTCGCCTTCTCCGGCCGACCCGCACCGCCAACTCAAGAAGATAAAGTGGAGTCCTTCTGTGTTTGCTGTGCTTGTGAACGTTGCATGGACTTCTGACTTTCCACGTCTCTAAAATGTTTCTCAACCTGTGAGGGTAAAGCAAAAACAATAAAGAAAACATTATTAATAGATAAAATTACTATGGTGAGACTTGAACCAGCTATGGTTTACAGATAGAACATAGAGACACCAAATTGACAGAAACGAGACCAATCTGAACTTGTTTCAGCCTGGAAAAACCAAAGATAGGAATAACAACAAAATTGAGTCACAACTGACGTGAAACAAAACAAGTCACCGGCTCCGAGAAGCTCAACAAACATTTTCCAAATATAAAAAGCAAGTCTTATGACGAATTACTGTTACGGCCCCCCAAACACATGCTTATCTTTAAGTTCCCCTCACTGGGACCATAGCTAAAGTTAATAGCTAAATGAATGTGGTCTTGCTCAATTCAAATCGTGTTTAGCCATGACTACCTGGTACCCATCAACAAAGTGTCTGTCAAGTTCTGGAGTGTGATGGGAATGGGTGTATAAAAACTAGAGAATGAGGCCTGAGGCCACCGAATGCAACACCAATGACTGGCATATTTCAGAAGCTGCTCTCAGCTCCATGGCATAAAAATACACGTGATTTCTGCACAGAGGACCGAAAGCCAGAGACACCCCCCCCCCCGGTAACTTTTTTTTTAACCGAAAGTCAAACTCACAAAGTCTCCATATATGAACCTGTGTAAAGTGCTATTAGTGGTTCTCTTGATTGCTCAGGGTGTCTCACAACAGTTCGCTTTCTGTGGTGCCTAACAGCTGGCAGTTAGCTTAAGCTCTCCATCGCTCACCCTGTTGCTGCCATGCAGGTGATCCAAGGTCCCCATCCCTGTCTGCACCCACCTCCCTCCAGCAGTTGACCTGCAGCTTATTCACTGGTCATCCCCCTTCGAGATGAGACTCTTAAGTTTACGAATGATTGTGCTAAATAATCCTGATAATAGTTTGTAACGATTGAGCAGCTTTATGTGACAGACACACACCTACTGTATACACTTGAATGTGGAAGTCTTACACTGCGTTGGGTGGGGGGGAAAGTGTCTAATCGGGGGAACATTTGCACTTTCCATTTACACCGTTTTCTGTCCTTGCCCAAAACAAGACAGCACAGATTTACAGACTTGAATTTTCCTAGAAAAGCGATCAAATCGTCAGCGAGGAAGAGGCTAAGAGTGGAACTGAACTCCTTCAATAAGAACGATTATAAGCCTTCAGGGAATTAGTGATGCATGCTACCAAGAACAGAACATTCAACACAGAGCACAGCGATCACATTTGCATACAACTTCAAAAAACTGTTGTTAAAATGCAACATATGGGGCACTCATCACGGACAAAGGTGAAGTAACAGAGGTCGAGGGATTTGCGGATTTATTAGATTAATCCAAACTTGCAAGCATGTGGAGATGAGCACATGCTCACACACAAAAAAGAGAAAAAAAAAAAATCAAGTCTGAAAATGTCACTCATCTCTAACCCCCCCCCAATCAAGTAAAAGCAAAAGCTGAAGACAAAGTCATCATGAAATAAACAGTTACACATGTGAAAATAGAAAGTGTAGTAGTACTTACTATTTTGCGTACATGACTTAAAGCGCTTCCCTCTTTGCCTTTGCAGTTCTCAACCTGGTAAGGCGGTGAGATTATGACGTCGTCCATCACAATAATGTTCTTCTCCTGCCATTTACAGTCTTTGATGCTGTAAAGAAAAGAAAACGACCTTTTAGCCACAGCTGAAAATGCTTTTTTGTTTTCTTTCTGCAAATGTCATACTGGTGTTTATGACATCTATAGCTCCGTTTCTAAGGTAACCAGTTTAAGCAGGTTAAACAAGCAGCACATTTGTCATACGGAGAGTTAACGACCTGAAAGTGAAACCAGAGCCAACAATGGACAGGTTTCACGTTTCTGAGTGAACAATTCTGTGGGGCATCTGGTCTCCTGTGTTTTTGAAAACATTTTAAATCAAAAACTATGTGAGCTGCAAAAAAAGATGAGTTTTATTCAAAATATGACCTTTGACTAAAGAAGACGGAAAAGGCTCAGACAGGTATCCAATTAGTCTGATTCAGGGCTAAAACATGGCTGGATCAGATATCTGAAACTTCAGCCTGATTCCTTCATGTCACAAAGTGTAAAAGTTAAATTATCAAGAGACGCATTCATCTTCATGAATCAGCTCAAAGGGAACAAGATGAAAATATATTTCGGTTTCAATTTACAGATTAGAGCTTTATTTCAACAGGTTGCACAAAAACATGAAAGCTTTACAAATTTCAACCACTTTTAAATAAAACTATTTTTAATCTTTTAGTCGCCAAGGACTTTTCCCCCATTAATATTGATCCTGAGTTACTCCTAAATCTCAGACATCAATGACTGGGTTTAATACTTTGCATTCCTTTTCCTTTATCACACAACTGAAGGAAATTCTTGCTCGAGTGGGTTAAGATCAGGTTATTGTTGAAATTCAACATCTCTGCCTTCCAACAACTTTCGCTTTGTTTTTGTAGTGCATTCTCAGTAAGTTTCAATTTGCATTGTAAAGCTCTTTCCAGTCAACCTAGCTGCATTTGACTGTCCAAATAATGCTGTTCCTAAACAGGTCTGGCTTTCCCCCCCTTTTTTTGTTCCTTCTTCCCACTAACCTGACCTTGTGACTGATCAACGATCGCCATTTTGCAGCTTGTCACAGAGTATTCTCTCTATGATGGACATATGATGGGGGTGTTTCTTATTGACTATAGAAAGGATCCTGTGACCATCTACCTCTGTTCCAGGCTTCTTCTTCTTTTCTTTTTTTTTTAATTGCCAAGCCCAGCAAAGCATCCATCTGTCCCCATTACAATTACAAAGATCGAGATTTGACTCTGCAGCCTAAAGCAGGGCATTAAACACCGTTATGGACTCAGACAAGTGAAGAGCCCACAGACAACTAGTCATTGCTGTTACTTCATCCAACACTGCATGATGGCCAGGAGTACTTGCTGCACTGTAATCTAGAGTCTATGATCTCTCAGACATGTCTTTCTGGCCTGCATTGACAGCTCCTTTCATCACATGTCGTAGATTCACAGAAACAGCTTCCAAACTCTAAAGCCACGATGATCACCAGATTTTTTACCTGCTTAATTTATAAAAAACTGGGATCAGACTGAAACTAGCCCACTGAAGGAACAATGGGCTGTGAGGTCAGTTCCTTGATCATTAGTATTTCAGTCACTGTGCAAATGTACTGTTTATAAAGTTGGGGAGACCTGCAGTCAGCTAAGACTGAAGAAGTCACTTGGATGAGTGATGAAACGTTTCTCCCGCTGAAAACCAGTCCAGATGAACAGGATCAACTTTTTGGGAAAGCCAAGAGTTATACACCAGTTGTATAAATGTAACTTGAAGCAGGTTTCAGTGTAGCTAAAATTAAAGTTGTCATTGTCCATTCTGTCCAAATAAATACGGTCATAACTGTATCTGAATGCTGGCAAGAGCTTCGCTCTGATGCAACTGTGAGGTTATTAAACTATCAAGAAAATCCCTGAAAGTTTTGGCAATGGGAAAAAAAAAATCTATGTATTTAAAATTCAATCTAATTCTTCAAACAGCAAGTTTACTGGTTTGTTTTCACTGTTGTGTACACATCTGCACAATGTACAGATGTGTACACTGTGAATTTTTCATTTTTAACATGGCTAGAGAAAAAATGATATTAGTTCACATTTCAAACTTTCAAAGTCAGCTTTTTTAAAAGGAAAAAAATGATGTCATTGCTTTCTGTTTTCTAAATAAGCAGCATGATTCTGCTGAACGGTTAGTTTTTCTTTTGAATATTTTACTTCCCTTTTTGACATGACATTAAGTCTTTGTTGTTATACTCTCTTTGTAGGATTCAAGATGGTCAGTGAGTGTCCTTCCATTGATTTTGATTGAATGATGAAGATCTTTAAGTGATTTAAGCCACTAGTGGCATAAAATACTCACAAATTAGTGGTCAATGATACATATAGTATGCAGTGAAAAATTTGACCCGATCAGGTGAACATTTACCCCCATCTGACCTGTGAAGTGAATGAACAGTAGCATAAAGTTCTTACGTTTTGTGAATAGTCTGGAATAGCTGTTGGCCCTCCACAGAAACCCCAGCACTGATTGCATAGGCTTGGGACAGCTTGTCCTCTTTTTCTGTCCGTGCTCGATTGGCAAGCTGTAAAGATTAAAACAGAACACACAGCATTTTTTTTTATTTAATTTTTTTTTCTTTAGGCACATCAAATATTTGGTCTGAAACAAGAACAGCTTATTCTTTTAACTGCAAAAACTAAATTTCAGGTTCCAATTGTGATTTTAGGTTCAGCACTCCAGCAGTGAACTTGGTTTATATAAAAGTACATTTCACTTTCCCGCATAGGATTACAGAGGCAGTGTTTATATCTCAGCATTTAAACACCCTCGACATGTCTCCATTTATTCACGGCCTCAGTTTGGGCTTACTTTATTTAAGTGGGGGGAGGGAAATAATCTATAAACACTGACTTTTATTTCTGCTGCGTTCCAATTTTCCAAATCAGGGTCTCAATCCTCAGAAGTCTATTTCTAGACCTACTGACGATGCCAGCCCCATTTCACAGCCTCTTCAAAACGCAGCCGAAACGGCAAATGCATTTTGGCCAAAAGAATACAGTATTTCACTGAGGGCCAAGTATTTTTGGAGCATTCAGGCAATCCTCATTGTAAAGTTAGGAGATATCCTGGCCCATTCACCAACAGCGCCTGACGCCCACCACACTTGATGTAACCCGAGGCATAAAAACCAATAAATGGTATAAAAAGAAAATAAATTATTGGACTTACCTTGCTAACATTCAGTGATGCTAGAGGGGGTGGAGTCTCAGTGCGGTCATTTATAATGTCCACATCAGAAACATAGGCTAAGTTGATCAGGATGACGTCGTTGAGGTTTGGCTTACCACTGGAGGAAGCACATTCTTTGAAGGCACTTAGGTCAAGGCAAACAACTTTGTGACAGTGAATGACAGAACAAAAATGACTATTATCTGTCCCCTTGAAGAACTTGGGACATTGGTTTTCTGCACAGAGAAGCTCATTATTCAGAGAACACTGGCTGACAAACACTGACAGTGAAAGGTAGTGCCAGTTACAGCATGGGACTACCGAAAGCATTGCTGCCACCTGTAGCATCTATGAATGAATGAAAGAATGAATGGAGACGGCTAAAATGTGTTATGAGAGGAAAAACTGCAAAAAAAACCATGTACTGATCCACAGTCACGAAGCACCCATAACAAGGTCAGCAAACCCAGTATCTACAACTTACCATAACGGCCTTTAGCGAGTGAAATTGCTTTATCACCACTCCACTTTAATTTATTATTACTGCATTGATTTATTTATTACCCGTCATATCAAGTTTATCCAAGTTTTTCAGTGTTTACTTGCTGCTGTTACCATTTTACCTTCTCTTGCTGATTACTGATTGTGAAGCTTATTGTAACCAAGTCTGAAAAAGAGCTACATTACTAAAGTGTTATTATTATTGCTACTTAATACAGGGCTGGCTCGCTCTATGACTGACCGGAAATACACACATTGTTTGGGCTTTAACACTGCCTGTTTGTTATTTATTTAAGTCATAACACGTAAAGTTTCCTCTCACTGTACTTAAACAGTAAACTGCTGACTTGGGAACTCAAGCGTAACATAAGAACTAGTCTGATTTTTGTTTCGCTCTGGGTTCTATATCACAGCAGCAGTTTTAAAAGGTTTTGTGCACCTAAAAGCAAACCAACATTTCATGGCACACATGAATTCACATCTGCATAGAACATCCTCCATGCAATCAATTCTTCTTTTGACTATACACTTATGATAGCACGCCTGTAGCAAAATAGCCCTTTTGCACTTTGCAGTAAGTTCTACTCCCATATAGTTTCCCTCCACAGATATTCCAACAAACTGTCTGCCTCTAATTCTAATCGAGTGTGGGTTTATGTATTCCGTCTTGGAATAATGTTAAGATTAGTCAACTTGTCTTGAAAGATAATACTGTCATTCACAGATAGTCTCTTTTGTATAGGCAGGGGATTGCCCACTCTCTGGTTCACAAAATACAGTGATCCACTGTCCTGTTTTCCTCACCATCTTTTGGGACCTTAGAAGTTCGCTAATTTAGCAAATATAAATTCAACTCATTAAGTTCTAGTGCAGCTGCTTAAATAATAGATGGATCTCACCAAATCCCAAGGCACACCATTTATGAACATTAGATCTAACTGAGCGGTATATGTTTTTTGGCAAACTGATCCATAAAAAAAAAAAAAAAAAAAAAAAACTTCTTAAGTTATGACTTCTGTTGATGAATAAACCGACTTCTTGCAATAAATACATTGGAAACGACTGTCTGAAAGTCGATAAATACATAAGAAAAGTCATCTGATTTTACACAGGCCTTGCATTCAAACTTAGCATGTGAACATATTACCTCGATTAGTCATACAATACATACAATGCCTGTATGGCTATTGAGCACACTTACACGTTTATAACGTCATTATCACACATTGTAGAGCTGAAAGTAGGTGTCCAGGCGTTTCTACAGCTCAGACAACGTCACAGAGTGTTTTTAGTGTTAAACTAACACTTAGAAAGACCATGACTATCAGCTCTAAGCGCTCCCCACTCTTCATTTGATTTAATCACCTCAAAGTTTGGCCACAATGACGACAACTACACGATAACCTCTCGAGTCTGTGCAATTAACTCTATGATCAGAGATAAAGGAACATGATAAGATGCACATTCGCTCACTCACTCATTCACTCACACTGATGGGTGTAGACATGTTCGCCAGCAAACTAGTGTTAGTAAGTAAGTTATTACTCCCACCCAAATGACTCGTGTTAAAATGAACTGTGGCACAATCACACAATATTTACAGCCCAGCTGATAAGCTTGAGAACGCCAAACCCGTTAATTGAGCTAGCCAGTAGCTGCAGTGTGGGTTTGACCGAAATCTAGCATGCTAACATGCTAAAACCACCCTGATTGTGTAGCGTGGACTCGGAAACCACTTAATCTCTAACTTGTACAAATAATCGTGAGCATCTCCGGCTGATGGCACCACCAACCATGTGAGGTCAATATGTGGACCATCAACACGCGAGACTCTCCCAGTATCAGTTAGCTCGCTAACTAGCAACGGTTGTGCCTGCTGAGAGCACACAGCCATGATGCCTTACGAGGATTCGTTGCCAGATAGTGATCCATGTTGAGGGCTGGCAATACAATGAGTGGATTCAAAACACATGCGCTGCTAGAGCGGCTAACGAGAGGCCAAGAAATTACCAGGCAACCCCAACTAAAGGCTTATACAGACAGAAGATAGATGAGGTGCTATCCGAAACAAGAAAATATATAAAACGGGCAAACGTGTGTGCTTCTGCTAGCACCAATTACGCCTGCGCGGATCACTATTTGCCACATTTCGGTTACCCTACAGGCCCTTGCAGCCAGGCAGGCCAGCAACCCCTCCATCCGCAGCTCGAAACAAACAAAAGGATACTCAGAGTTAACATCTTGGACTGGTAGTCAAACGCGACAACTTCTCCTTGCAGACGTTGGCCCAAGCATGTGACGCATGCGACATGGCTCCCGACGCTAAAATACTCCCCGGGTCCAGGAGCCGCCATCTTCTCCGCCAGGAAACCGGAGCGCCTGCTTTACGTAAAGCGACGCGATGTCGTATGGAGACGAAACCTGAGCGTAACAAAAGTACGTCGATCGTTTCTTCTAATGTGATGAATTATAATTCCTGCCAAATCGAATCTAGTTTAAGTAAAGTTGTGTCATTGAATCACTAACTAAGGTCTTCAACTGCAGAACTACTACGAATACAACTTCTCTCTTCGACGAAGGATGTCGCTTTGTTTCCCATTGAACCGCCTTCCGATGTGCCCCGCCCCCTACCGGATGTAGAGCAGTACTGTGGAATTCATTGTAACACATCAAATAAAGGGCTGTCTTTAGATTTCCATCTACATATCAAAGTGTTTGTACTGGGAGAAGGCAGAAAGGAATGGAGGAGCTTTATACCCAAGGCGTCTGGATGGCCGAAGGTCTCCAGCAGAGGACGAAGACTCAGGAGAAATTCTGGCTTACGGTCACTCATATGGGAGACCCTAAAGCAGCCTTTTTGCTCGTCTTTCCTTTTACTTATTTCATCAACAGGAGAGCTGGGGTAGCGGTGCTTTGGATGGCAGCTATATCGGAGTGGTTAAACTTAGTGTTCAAATGGTAAGGCGTTTTAATGAAGCACGATTTGAATATTCCCGTCCATCTTAGTTTTTACACTTACCATTGCGGTTGTATGTCTCATGCTAGCATGTTGCTACATTACATACATAACTTTTTTCACATTAAAATTGTTAATTATATATTCAAGACCGCCTGCACATGTTCATTTTTTCCAGTTTAAACAAATAAAAATAATTTTAGTTTAGTCTTTGCTTCCGGTACAGCAAAGTAGTACAACCCTGTATTAGTCCGACGTGAAACAGAAATGAGCGGAACCTTTGGGACCGTTCAATGGAATTTTCCCCACAAACAGCCTGGAGTGTAACAAGAAAAGTGACGAAAAGAAATGGAAATTAAAAACAAGAAGTAACCATATAACACAAATTTGACCAAAATTTTCAACGGATTAAATTTTAGGGAAGCAACGATATAGATGGATAATAACAAAGTTATAAAATGCTTCACAAGGTGAGATAGGAAACAGCAAATAAAACGTTTAATAAGAAATAAAAATTAAACAACATAAGGTATATGAATACTGAGAACGCAAAGATAAACGGGAGAATTAAAGACAGAAAATAAATAAATTAAAAAATGATTACTAAAAGAAGCAAATACGAATATAAAATAAAGCAAATATGAGAGACAACAAAGTGGTAACACGAAGTGGAAAGAATGCTCGTAAAAAGTCTCTTTAAGAAATTTAAAAGATTATAATGAGCTAAATCTCCTCAGGCAGATTGTACCAGAGAAAGGGTGTCCTGACAGAAAAAGCCTGAACACATTTGGTTTCCAGCTGAGATTATGGGGTGGCCAGAGCAGCCTTAGCTGAGGACCTCAAGATCTGAAATATACTTTGGTGCGATCCTGCATACTAATAACATTGTTGTTACAATGTTATTACAAATACATTTTTTTTCATTATAATAAATGCGTTTACATTATACCATTAAAAACTTGAAATAAAACAAGATAAATTTAAGGAAAACATGCAAAAGACAGAGGAACATGCATAGAAAAAATGAAGCCCCAAATCCTCAACAATTAAGGGGAAAAAAAGGAAAAATACAAAATACATTACAAATGTACCAAGTAGAGAAACAATACAACTAAACTACTATGGACATAATATAGATTTTTAAAAGCCATGTATTATTTTGATTTCGATATTTCTGATTACACTAATTATTTTCTGCGAGTGTTCATGTAGAGGTATAGAGAAGCCAAATATAATACAGTAAGGAACTTTGAACTAAATAAGATTCAGTAAAGTAAAAAGAAGAATGAAGAGTAAATATGTAGAGGCTTTTGGAGAAAAAAAAAGTCTTAGATTCAACAAGTTAAAAACCGTATTAAATGTAGTAAAATATAGTGAAGCCATGACCTTGAATGTATTTGTGTTATTTGGGGTGTGTGTAAATGTATTTATATATTATATTTATTTTTAATCAGGTTGCTGTTTGGAGAGAGGCCATTCTGGTGGATCGGTGAATCGCGTCTTTTTGTCAACAAGCAACCGAAAATTCACCAGTTTCCGTCCACCTGTGAAACAGGCCCAGGTTAGAAGTTGTCTTAGAAAAATAGACTGTGTCTGAGTCATAGCCAATGTCCTTAAATCATCAAACATTCAGATCTCCAAGTCCAAAGTTGGCATCTGTTTCCCAGGCAGTCCGTCTGGACATGCGATGGTGACAGCAGCAGTCTGGTGGGTCATTGTGTCCTCGCTGGGGTCCTTTCTGTACTCCCGTTCTCACAGGTACGTCCCTGTTTAAGCTAAATCCAGCGCAGTATGCTGCTTTGGCTCTAAAAATGCACAAAACTGCTGCACATTGGAACTACTTTTAAACAAATCTCTCCTTTTCTGAATCCGGAGTGTTCTCTTATCAGCTGCTCCCTACGTCCTCTATGTGGTGATGCTTGTTGCAGTTGGAATCTCCAGGATCTTTATCCTCGCACACTTTCCTCATCAGGTCGTTGCTGGCTCCATTACAGGTCTGAATACATATTATGCAAAAATCATATTTCTGAAAAAGGCGGGGCACTTTATAAAAAGTATATTAAAAGCCAAATGCAGTGATCTCCAAAGTGTAAAAGCCATTTTTGTTTGATATATGATCACAGCTGCAAATCATACAGGTTTAAATTCAAAATACACTAAATATTTTCACTGACTGACTCTAATGGATTACAGGCAAGAATGTTTAAGACCTAGATTGTGTAAATATGCAGCTGTGCTGCAGAATGTGATTTGCTGAAATGATTGATGCCCCTCCTAAAACAGGTGTCCTCTGAATCAAAGCATTGGTTGCTCCAAAACATTATTCAGTGTTAATATTTCTAACACAGATGTAGAACTAGTGCACTCCATCATCACTTGTGCTGGTTTTTGAGCTGCTTGCTATCAACTATCTGTGCAATTCTACAGGATTTTTGTAGTTCCCAAAAAAGAATTTCATAATTGGATTTGTCAGACCCATAGGGTAGTTTTCCCATGTGTGCAGCTTAATCTGATGAAATGCTCTTGTCAGGTTTCATTCTGGGGATTGTCCTGAGCTGCAGAGTACCAGAAGGTCGCCCCCTGCTGTTCTTCTTTAGTTTAAGCTTTGGGCTGCTGTTCGGAGCTCTGATGCTCCATGCTGGATTAAAGCAGCTGGGAATTGACCTCTCCTGGTGAGTTACTCTATTACATTAATGTTTAATCAGTGAGTCTGATCAGTATATATTGTGATAATATAAAGGGACTTCCTTCCATGACCGGTCATGTTTTTGATTCAACAGGTCTATTGCTTTGGCAAAGAAATGGTGCAGCCATGCAGAATGGATTCGTTTGGACACAGCCCCATTCTCCTCTCTCACCCGAGACTGTGGGGCCCTGTTGGGTTTGGGGCTGGCACAGTACTGGAAGCCTGGTGGATGGTCTCTACCTTGGGCTCCCAGAGCTTTGTCTATGGCTGTATCATCCATGGGTCTTTACCACGTGAATCGTCTACCGCTCCCGGTCCGACCACTGGGCCTTTTCTACAGCCTGTTCTTCGTCAAATTCGTCCTAGTGCCTCTGATCGTTATGGTACTTGTGCCTGGGCTGGTACACCTATTAACATTCAAAAAAAGGAAAGACTAGAAGAGGTCCTCCACACATGATGTGCACCTTAAACACCTCCCAAAACTGGAGTTTCCTTCAGAGTTTGTATAAACACATTTAATGTTTAATGTTCGCTGCGTTTCAGAACCATTTTGATGGGTATGGGTTAAGTTTAATTTTCACGTCTTAAAATTCACTAAACAATGGCCTTTTATCCAGTCTGTGACCTGTGTTTTTCCTCTTATTTGATGATTTTAAAAGTGCCGGTATTGAGACATTGTGGCGTAAAGTATGTCTCTAGTGAATCTAGTGCAATCATAAGTGTTGTAAATACTACAGTATTTTTGCTAAATATCGACTTTATTGGGAAAAGTGCAACTTTGTTTATGTGCATTTTGTGTTGTTTGAATCTTTACGAGTCAAAGATTGTTACCGAGGTTTAAAACCTCAGATTTGCGACTAGTGAAAGGCAAAGAATTTGAGCATTGTGCAAATGTCTGATGCTCAGTTTTGTGTTGTTGCTTTGTGACCGAAAAACTTGAAAGCTACATTCCTATGTTATTCCCAAATCAGTAAAAAAATAAATAAATGATTGACATGCAGGGCGTGTTTCAGTTGGTAACCATTTATAAATATGTTCTCCTTTTTTCCAATACATATGTTCGACTGTACAGATTACAATCAGTTATCATGAGATAAAAACACATTCTTTTTTATTGTTTTTAATTAAACTTCACAGCGATCTGAAAGCTCACATTTACAGACAAGAGAACTCTGCTCAGCAAGCAAATATGTTAAAATAAAATAAAAAGAACTTTTTTGTCTGGCGTGGTTGAGGGAAAATGACAAGGATAAGTTCGGGGGATAGCAGTCTCCTCATCTTAATCCAAACGTTGTACCACACACACACACACCAGAGACACTGCTATACATGTTTCTGCTTGAGGTCATGGAAAGAATAGAACATGCATCAGACTATTTACAGCGAACTAATATACACAGATAGCTTGAAACCATACACCCTCAAATAACCTCAACTTAAAAAGTCCTGTTTAAATTAAGTATAATACAGTTTATACCTTCATTTCTGTAAAGTTAAGTAGGGCTTCTCTCCAGTAGCAGGTGAAACTGAGGACAACTGTCTCCATTTATTCTTTATCAGACATCCAAAATAAAATGTTACAGACAAATAGTCTATAATCATTCCCACATATATAAATTACTTCAATATTTTCATTATTCATCATCTCTATGACTCAAACTCCAAATTACAGAGCTCCTGGATACTGAAATCTCAGGCTTTTGTTGTTGCAGTAGGTTCGATTTATTTAGAAGACGTGTGCCAGTGGACATGGTGTCAAAACCAGTGATTCAGAGTTAGAGGAATATATTTTTATGAGGTGGAGTTACTTAAGTATGATTCGCCTCTCTAAACAGACAAACTATCTAACAAACCTGAACTGGACAGAGTGAAATATCTGAGCCAATACATACCTCTTGTGCTAGAAAGTTTATATATCATCCCAGATTCTGAACATTATCACTCACCACTGCATTGCAATTCACATAATAAGTGTCTGTCGTAGTCTGGTTAGCACTGATCAGCGATCTGACGGATCACTTGCCCACTTTCACTTACTCCTAATGTAACAATCGTAACAAAGTAAGTAAAATACATAAAGTGCACCCTTAGTTAAGACCTTGTCAGGCATTTTAGTGCAGAAGTGGCTGAATAAAAATGCATTATGATTTAAAAGAAATCATAAAAACAATGCAGAAGAAAGGGAAAGGTTGGTAACAGTGGTTGTGTATGCATTTGCTTGCTTTTAGTCGCTGAGTACTTTCCGCCATCGCTCACACGGAGGAGGGACAGAGGCAAACTTTGATTTTGATTTTTCTGCCATTTGATAAAAGCACCCAACTGAGTGAAAGACAAGTTGCAGCCAAAATAATTTGCTATTATTGCCTGACAGACAATACATATTTAATTACTGTGATTATCGACTGATATCATTTAAAAGAGGGTGAAGATTTGTTGCTCTTCTGCTTTCTCCTTAAACTCTTTTGGTTTGCCGATAGAGCAAAATATGTTGTGAAGATGTTGCTGGGGAAGTGGGAATGACAACTTTATCATTTTCTAACTAATCTATCAAAAAATAATCTGCAGGTTGACACATTCGCTTGCATTATATTATAGCAAAATTCTTTTTATTTTGACACAACAGAGGTAACTTCATCAGTCAAAGTTTGTCTGTGTCCCTTGTCCACCGGTCGGTTTTCCACATCCGTATGACTTGCAGTGTGACACAGAGGCAGGGTTAACAGAATAAAAGTCAAAATGCAAACTATGTTTTGTTTTCTTTTTATGTACAATATATAACTTAATTATAAATATTGTCATTTTTCTCTAAGTACTGAGTTGTTGAGCCATTTGTATTTTCTGAGCAATGTACAGTATTGAACATATAATATTGTATTACATAGAATAGAGCCTACTAGCAACCTTGGTTAAGAGCACACTTTGAAAGAACAGAAGATGGATACAGAGTCCACAAGTAGAGTCCGATGGGTAGTACTTTCACTCTTGGAGTCCCACCTGATGTGGTCACACGTGGGGACAATGTGCCACGTGTTGGAAGTGAACTGGTCTCTGATTTAGATTACAACTTGCGATCCTCCTGTTATCCTACCTGTTTGCAGATTATGATATTGAAAGAATCACTTCTCACCGTTATGTTTTTCATATAAGATAATGTCTAATACCCTAAAGTGTGTTTGTTGGCTTTGTGGTTTTCTTTCTCTAGTGAGTTCGTTGAGATGAGTTCGTCCATGACACACACACACCCCGTCACATCTTCTGTCGAGCTAAATATTTTTTACTCTCTCAGTTCCACTAACAAGCCCAGTCCAACCATCCAATCACAGACAGGCCATCACACATTCGACTCCACAAATGGTCTCTTTGGTTTGATGGGGGAGGTGGGGCCTTGGGTCCGGGAGTCACGCGAGAGCTGTCGGTACATGTTGTCCTGGTAGGCCTGTGCCACGGGCAGAGTCCTCGCCACCTTCACGTCTGGGTAGGTGGGCACCTGGCTGACCCGTTCCAGGATGTCCCCACTGCCACGGGAGCCATTGGCCAGCTTTCCCAGAGAGGGGGGCTGAGTCTGGGAGTAGTAATCCTCTTCTAACAGGTGTCCGTTTTGGGCGTTGTTGGTCTTGTTGTAGTATGCGATATTACCCAGTGAGGCGGGGGGACTGTAGGTGGAACCTTGCTGGACCAGCTGACCGGGGGAGGTGGGGCTGATGGCAGAGTCCATAGATGTCATTGCCCTGGACCGTGAGGGCTGATGCAGGTACTGCTGAGTCCGAGCCGTCTTGTCTATGATCCCCATAAAAGGCGTATTGCGGGAGCGAGTGGTCTCTCCCTGATACAACCCCCCACCACCCTGGGAGGGAGAGATGGGAGAGATGTCATCACAGGTGCGCTCGTATGTGGCTTGTAAGGGAATCTCCATCTGCTGAATGGAAGAGGAAGGCCTGAAACCCGGGGCTAAATTCGAGGTGGATCCAGTTGAGATGTTGTTGCTGGAAGGTGAGAATCGAAGGCCTACACTCTGAGAATGGATGAGAGGCCTAGGGGTGGGCACATGCTGCTTCATTTCAGTAGTATTGGCACTCACAGGGCGTCTAACCATATGGGGGATCTCGGGAGAGCCCAGCTGGCAGGGGGGCATAGCATTGGCACGCTCAAGAACGTGTTCAGAGACTGGGTAGTAGGCGGCTGACTGGCTGCGGCTTATCTGAGGTGTCTGGCTGTAACGGATGCCCCCTGGGCCCCCACTGCTGGCGCGGTAGGCAGAGGAGGGGCGCTGGGGTAGCTCATCCTTCAACAGGCTCGACTCCATAACCCCTCCTCGGCCGCCGTGCTGACAGAGGGCCCCAGAACTGAGGCTGGCCTGGACTTGGGACATTGACCGTCCATCCAGTGAGGGTTGGTACACCAAGCGGCTCTCTACATCCACTGAACCCCCTTGATAGCGACCACCCATGGAGTGGCCCATCTGGCCACCATAACTACTATTTCCCATTACGTTGCTGGGCTGGTTTGTGCGGACTATTTGGGCTATGGAAGGCTGCAGACGGAGGCCTTGGGCTTGGTGGTGTTGTGAGGATAAAGAGGGCTGCGAACTCAGCTGGAAAGAACGTTGGCTGCTCATCTTGGAGAGGGGAGATTTGGGTCTTCCAGGAAGCTGCTCTGTCTGATAGCGCACAGGTGACCCAGACTGAGACCTGTACAGACAAACACTTTCTAACGGTGGACTGGCTCTATACTGAGCAGCCCGACGTAAAGGGGAAGGCGGTGGGCTCTGGTGATCCATCCCCTGACCCCCGGTACCCATAGGAGGTGGGCTGAAGCGGTAGGATGGCTGGTGTACTGGGGAGGTGTGAGGGGGACTGTGTCTGTAATGGGAGTTCTGATGTGTTGGAGAGAGGGAGGGTGACGTGGGCTGGTAGGAGCCCCGAGTTGGGGAGGACATGGAGGAAGAGGTGGGGTGGTATTCATAGGGCTGGCCCATGGGTGAGCCTCCAGCCAAGTAAATCTGATCTGGATGTGTGGGGGAGAGGGGTGGACTCTGAATTATAGGAAGGCTGGAGGGATTTGAGAGGGACTCAGGTGGGGGCAGACCCATCGACATAGCTTCCAGCTCCTGCTCCAGGTAGTCCTCATCCTCAAACAAGTCCTGTACGGGCTCCATGTCTTCCAGACGGGGCTCTGGTGGAGGGGGGAGAGGCATGGACAGAGACAGGGACTCCTCCTCTTCTGGGGGAGGTGTAGGAGGGGGTGAGGGAGGAGGCTCCAGCTCCAGGTCCTGCTGCTGGTGCTCCTCCTGGTTAAGTTGGTGGCATTCCTCTTCCACCCTCTGGAGCAGCCGCTGGATTTCTCTGTTATTGGGGCACTGCTTTATGGCTTCATTCAGGTCCTCTAAGGCTTCAGGAAATTGTCTAAAATAATAGAAAATAAATAAAATAAATAAAGTAAATTACGCAAAACTGTAAAATCTGGGGGAGGAATATAGAGATCCTTTAAAAAGGAAGACCACGGAGAAAGGGGTAAGGAAAAAGGAAAGCATTCTTCTGATCTGTACAAGGATAAAAATGAGTGTACCTGCTGCTACGCTTGGCGCGTGCCCTGGCGTAGTATGCCTCATAAGATTTTGGTTTCAGTTCGAGCGCTTTAGTAGCAAATTCCTCAGCCATCCCAAAGTCCTGGAGAGATTAAGCACAGGAGAAGAATAATGAACACTACAGAACAGTGAGAGAAATTGACATGTGGCCAATAGTATCATTAACCATCAAAGGCTTTAGTAACATCCTTCAGTTTTAACAATTTAGTGTTTTTCACTGTTGCTGCTTTTCTGCTGACTTACGTTCATTTTCCTTCGACATCGGGACAGGTTGAGGAAGAGCGATACTTTGAGTTCCCTGAATGTCTTAAGGTCCTCGCTGAAGCCTTCGCGTGGAAACTTTTTGAGAGCGTACTGATAACGCTGTGCAGCCTCCTTCACCTTCCCCTTCTGTTGGACAAATACAAAAAGATACA